CAATAGCAATTATTTATTAAGTCTGAATGGTTACTCAGCAATTACTGTAAGTGCCACACAAGTCTGCTGGCAGACACACCAAGGGCCTAATGGATGTGTGAACAAGTGAAAGAGGCTGCAGAGAGAAAAAGAGGGAGATAAAATCATCCTTTGTGAGTATTCAGCCTCCTGTGTTGAAAGACGATGAGACCAAGAATGAATGAAAAGAGTTGAAACAGGTTATAAGAGAGACAGGAGTAGGTGTAAACAGATACTTGAAACTACAGCGCTCCCTGTTAATTGAATATTTAATATACTGTACCATGTGTATATATATAGTACGTAGTTGCTGCACACGAGGGAAGGTGTATACCTCTCCTGAACGCATCTCTGGTTGTATTGAATGATGCTGCAAAATGGAAAAATTAGACTAAGGCTGCTCAAAGGTTTCCCAATAAGATGAATAAATTCAGATTTCATCATCCAGAAAAACAGACAGAAAACTGCTGTTGTTTTGTGACCTGCAGGTCTAAGTCTGTCTTTAAGTCATTGTGGCAGACCATGCTGACCAAGCAGATGTCAAAAAATGCACAACTGGCAGTGAAACTTCAACATTTTCTGTCTGGGAACTCGTGAAAGGAATTCAGAGCAGCTCAGGCAATGCAGTACTTATCAGTTTTTGGGTCAGTTCATTTTCAGTTCACTGGAATGATAAACTGAAACTGTAGTTCTTATAATACCATCAAAGCTTTCACTCTCAGAACCTCTCAAAACCTGGCCCCTTCATTGGAGCTCCGATCAGGCCCATAAACTCAGGCTCGACCCTACATGAACCCACAAAGTTTCTGTCCAAGCCTGACCCATGGCAGCAGTTTTGGGCCTGAGCCTGATTTAAAAACATTTTTACTTAAAACAAATATATGTTATAGATTATAATATCTATATCTATTTTAATGCTAAAACATTTATCCAAGTAAAGGGCTCACATGTGTCCTAGTGCTTACATCTCCCTTTATTTCAATAGTCTTGTAAGTCTTGCTCAGTAGAGTGGGCTGTGCATCTAGTGCACACTGTGGTCCACAGCAGCACAGATGATGATCACTGCTCTTTGGTGAATGTTATGCACATCTCTCCCATTGCTCAGGAAGCAGAAGCAAAAACTGCCAACCAAGTAGCCTTGTAATTGCCCCCCTCGCTCTTTCACTGGTTTCCCGACCCTCTCTTATGTGCTCTCTCTCTCTCCCTGTGTTCTTTACAATATTGCTTTGTTGTCCTGTCACTTTCCCTCTCTCAGTTGCAGTCCCCCCTCTCTTTCTCTTTTTCCCTCTTGAGTACATTAAAACAGTCCATTAAAACTCCTGCCATGCATGCACAAGAATAGCCACTTTCATAAAATAATAGTAATAGATGCATTTTTTTTTTTAATGTAAATTTTAGAAAACCCAACTTGATTCAAGCCCAAACTTGGCTGGTCGTGTTGGGCCCAATAGGGCTTGGGCAAAGAATCTGACCACCAACATACATTACCCACACTGCATCTCATCCACCATTAGTTTTGTTGGAGATTCAGATGTGATATGCTAGTAGTGGTTTATTTAGCCTCAAGCCAGTAGCCTCAAGCAGAGATGAGGAGCAGGCTACAAAGGTCTGTTAACTTCACTTCTCTTATACTCCACACCATCAGATTGTTTTTCATTTTCAAACTTGTAGTCTTTAAATCACTTTAGGCAACTTATCAGACTTCAAATGTACAATATGGACATAATTCCTATTGATCCGGGCTGAGTTTCCTGGTCTATTTAATGACCCACAAGGCTCATTCATCTTCATCCTGAAGCATTCTCTGCCACTGCTCTGAAAGCATTTACCCCGAGTGTTACAGTTGCTGTGGTGAGAAATTAGCAGCAGCATTTTTGACACCCAGAAGAAGGAGTGGCATTTTGATGGGGTCAGAGAGGGCTTATGAGGTAACTCAGGGACAGAGGTGGTCAAAGGGTGACCATTTGAGGGAGGCGGGTCAAATAAAAGAGGGCAGAGTCAGGTGTTGGAGGGGATCTGTGGAATTTTGGAGAAGAGGGCAAGATATGCTGGGAATGCCAGTCACGAGATGGTTTAGGGGAGGGTGGGGTCGCTGCAGTTCTGGAGGTCAGCTGATGACTCACACTCCAAATCTGATCAGAAGACCTGATGGCTTTAAAAGGACAACATGACAGCACCATCCTCCTCTGGGTGGAATTATATGAACCAATGAGCTTTTATTTTGTGTGAGCACATGCAAAGGCTTTCAGTGTGCAATAATGATTGTCTGGCTTCAGTTATATTGCTGATTTGTTGTGAAGAATCAGGAGCCAGTTTAACAAAAGTAACTTGCTAGTAGTGCATACATGCAGAGAACAAATAGTGCCATCATCGTGTTTCACAAATAACTGTCACTTGTTAATTGCAGACGCATTTCCGAGTCCTACGAGGTTCTCGTATGCTCATGCATGGGTTGCAAGTATGGTGTTTTGATTAGTAAATTGTGTCGAACTTGAAGGGGGAGAAGTTATTTTATGGTGCAAATTGCAGCTTGTTTTTCATGAGAGTCCAGAACCATATTTTGACATAACATCGAGGTTCTCAATTTCTGTTGCGAGAGAGCAAACAGGGATTAAGAGCGTGTTTGGATTATGTTTTTGTAGTAAGTGTGGGTTTTTTTGGCCAATCAGATGCAAACAAAATCAGATATTTGTATATCCAAGAAATGACTGACACAGGTTACTGGACTTAAAATGTCACTGCCCCATAATGTTGGATCAGTCAAATAAGGGATTGGCTGAGCAGGTTAAAACTGAAAAGTCTTGGAGCCAAAAATATGACAGGGAGTTCATTGATCAGACTTGTTTTAATCTCTCTGCAAAAACACACACCTCTCCAAAAATGCATCCAAGGCACTCACTGTAATTAAAATCCTTTACTGATTCATGAATAAACCAATGCGTTTTAACTAAAGAGTCTTAATCAGGGTATAATGTTATACCCTGGACTTTTACACTGAGTGACCTGGCCAGTCGTTGTTTTTTTTATCTTTATGTGACTACTTGCCCTGTCCTTGAAGAGCTCCTGATTTTTTTTTTTTTTTTTTTTTTTTTAAAACAATTTACTACACAGTGCCTTATCCAAGTGCACATACACATCTTCTCTGTTTGCCTTTATTACAACACCATCTTGGACAAGTCTCCACCTGATGATCGATCCTCCCTCCCTCCCCTCCTCAAACTAGCTCTCACTTTCTTTTTCTCATCTTTTAGTACATCCCTCCCAACCTGTCCCAAGCAGAGTGTCCCCTCTGTGGTGTCACTTTTCAGGGCTTTCCTGGAGGAGTTTGAGGAGGGCTGATGGGAATGGAGCCGGAGTTGTCCATTAGTTAGATTAGCAGCTCTGTGGGGAGGCTCTGGTTCCCTCTCCCCTGGCCAGGACAGACAAAGCTCAGGTCTGCCTGCCATTGTATGGCTGTCAGTCGGAGCTGGTCACTACCAAAAAAAACCTGTAAGGACCCAGATCCACTGATAAGGTGCTGTGAGGCAGGCTCTGTTATTTACTTGTTGACACACTGTGTCCATAATTGAAAAACGACTATGAAACTGTACTTTTTGATCTTCTATTTTTAAATCTATATTCTTGTAATGTTACTTTGTGCTGTGATGTTGGTATGTTGCCCAGTTTGCTGTAGGATTTTTATGTAGCTCTTTTTCAGCTTCATTTGCTAGAGATCTGACTGTTGACCAACTGTTGCTGTCTGACCAACAGGGGAATGATCTCAATGAGGTGTTGTGGATATGACCTGATTTGAATTAACCCATTTTTTGGTCTTGTCATGATGTTTTGTCTTTTAATGATGGAGGTTACTGCCTGCTGAAAAAACTTTTTAAGAATGTGTATCATATTGACAGCATTTAAGGATCTAATAGCATCCTGGCAAGCATAATAGTGTCCTGAGCAAAGAATGAAGTCACACTACTTCTGTGTTTGTATTCCACTGGCTAGCTAATCAGTGCCTCTCTGCACTGTGCTCCTATGGCTGTTACCACCGATAACATCGTGCTGACCGTAATGGCATAACGTTGTTGTTGCTGAAGCATAAAGCTCCCACCCGCCCCAGGTTAAAGCCGTTACCTCTGACAGCACCTAAGTTTGAACTGTTGGCACTGTTAGCTGCTAGCCATGGATGTCTGGAAAGACCTGGATACAGCGTTGGAGGCAGGCCCCCGTTCATTCCTATGAAAGTTGTTCAGTGGTGCGTGAAGCCATAAAAGTTCAAATGCTGTGCATAAACTTACTCAGATCATCGGTTAGCATAGCTTTCTGTAGCTTGATGCAGAGAGGAAACAGGGGTCGACATCTACGGCACAGTCCAAATTCTCCTACCAATACCTCTAATGCTAACTAATTAACAGACTTTATATTGTTTGTTTATTCTGTGCACAAACAGAAATGTAAAAACAACAATTCGCTGGTGATGACAAGACTCAGGGAGACTCTACACAAAGGTGCAAACATACACTGTAGTTTGCCCAGAAACTAGCCATGTAACTCCCTTTTTAAAATATTTTTACATTTCTTTTTTCTCTCCACAGATCATACAAATCATTCTTTAGCTTTCTCCAGGCTGTATGCTAAGTAAGCTAAGCTAGCAGCCATGAGGGTAACAACATGTTAGTGAGCTTTAGAGGTGCTGGTAGGCAGTTTTCTCACCTTTGTACAGAGCCAGGCTAAATATTCACCCCTGTTTCTCAGGCTTTGCGCTAAGCTAGGCAAATTGCCTTCTGGCTGACCACAGCTCTGTCGTCAGCACACAAATGTGAGCGTGATATATTTTCATCAAATTTTCGTAAAACTGTCCTAAACATTTATATTACTCCTACAGAGCAAAAAACAGATCGCCCATGTACCTCTGTGTGTGCCAAAGCATTTAAATGTATTCTCTTTTAAAAAAGGTATGATTCTTGACTCAGTGTCTCTTCTTTCTGTGTCTCTTTCAGCCTTTGGAGAAAAATGGCCAAATCTCCAGCGTGACCAGTCTGAATGGACATTCAGAGGACAACACGCTGGCAGAAGGTGTGTGTCTGTTTCATCAATACTGTTTATTTATAGTGTTTGACTTTGGGTGATGTTCCTGTGGTCAGCGGGTAAGTAGTGGCGATGTTTGTGTGTGTTTGTGTCTGGGATTTTGTACTGTTTCTTCAGCAGTGGCCAAAGGTAAGCTTGTTTGTGTGGGGTCAGTTTTCTGTGTGTGTGTGTGTGTGTGTGTGTGTGTGCAGATTCTTGTCTGCAGATGTCTTCGCAGCTTTCCAAGATTTACTTTATCCTGAACTAATCCCTTTGTCAACAGACAGGGGACACCTACAGGGGCTTTTCACATATGAGACACACACACACACACACACACACACACACACACCCACATACCCAACATACTGTGTGTTTCCCTCACTATTCCTTGAATCATCAAATGATAGCATGTAAATGTTAACTCATATACATACAATAAATAAACTTGTCCTTGGCCCCATCCCAATACACCCCTTGCCCCTACCTTGTAGCCCATACACCTCCATTTTGTGCATTCACGTCTAGGGGTAGGGTGTCCTGAATCTTGCTGGGATAGAGCAGTAGGGTAGACTGTAAGGCCTACATGACTGGCTAGATAGCTGGCTTATGTTACATTGTTATTGCTGATTTGTGCATGATAGTCCAGCATTAAGACATATTTCCATGTCTGCTCTTTGATAGAAAAGGAAGCTTGAAATTTAACTTAAGTTCTGCAGCAAAGTTGCTGCACTTGTTAAAATAAGAAATGGGATTGGGCCTTAGTATGATGCCGAGTTTCATGACAGATTCAGGAAGATTTTGAGCTCAGATCACAGCTAATGAAGACAGAAGTAGGCCTCATTTGTCCCATTGTTCAACTGACTATTCAAAACATTGTTCTTATAAAATGGAAATATTTAAAAAGGACTGTCTTTGGTCTTGTGGGAGGTACTCTAATGAACATTCTTCGATCAGTTATCTGAGATAAACATTAACCAGTAATAAACTGGGCAGAATTGATGTCTGCCAATACGTGCACCAACCTGCTCTGTCCATCTCCCGCAGCGGCCTCCTATCTCCAGAGCTGCCTTTGTTTATTTTCTTTGCCATTTCTATCGTGTCTCCCTCAATCTGGGAGGGCTGCAGGGGCCTGTGCACCCTCCCTAAATATTTAGCAGGCCGTGACCTGGGCCCCGCACAAAGCAACTTGCGCACTTCATAATATGTTATGGCCCAGGGGAAGGGGTAACCCTATACTACTTAAAACACAGAGATATGTCACATACCACTATGTCAAATAACCTATTTAATAAGATATTTAATGAAGCGATTCTGCCCGTTTATAGAGAAACCCAATACCTCTTCAGAGCAGAGATACAGAGGGTCTGAGTTGATGTGGCACGTAGACTAGAGTAATTTGGGTGTTGAAATCGTTGCTTCTGTGGACATGTACTGTAAGTTAATTAGCAACTAAGAAGGTTATAGAACAGAAAAGACCACGTATTTACCTTGTCGGGAATTCTTAGCTCTTGTGCACTTATGCATACACAAATCTGCAGTTTATTTGCCCTCATAGAATGAGCGTGCTCACTAGCAGGATAAAAACTGGAGAAAACAACTGAAGTTGTGGGGAAAAAAAATCAAGGCCACAGATTGAAGGAGAGCAGGGGAGTGAAAGGAAGGGAGATCCACAATGGGGAAAAGAAAAGATAGGGAAGTGGAAGGTATGGAGGGGATTCACATCCCAGCACTACTCTACCTCTTGTGCAGCCTGATAAAGACTGCAATGCATTGTGGGAGACAGGAAGAGAAGACGAATCTCTCTGATAACAATGAAAAACAAAAAGACAGGCTGCAGATCAAAAGACTGACACGTGAGCAAACACACACACATACATAAACACACATCCATAATCTCTCTCTATCAGGTATACTAGGGTGTTTACCGTTTGGTGAAATCCCACACCCCAAACACATCACACACCAAACTGGATAACATGACAATTGAAAGACTTGTTTAAAGTATTGTAGCGACTTAAATTGAGACCCCCTAATTCACTTTTCTAAAAAGCGTTACATGTCGGGTTTATTTGAATTGTAGATAGAAATTAAAGCTACTGGAAAATCTCACAATACTGAACTCCAATGCAGACTTGTATGGGCATTTTAGAGAGAAAGTCAATTAGTCTATGTCTAGTTTAAAGGTGTGAATGTGCGTAAAGTGAAGATGAGGCATATATGTTTCAGCAAAAATATTTTACTCTATCATCTGTCATGGAATGTTTAATTGAATTACTGAAAGTATTTGTTTAAGATGATATCAAAGTACGAGGATGGAGTTACATTTTCCACTACGTTCGTCATTAGTTGACCCCTCTGTGAATACAAACTCTGAATCTGCTGAACCTCAGTTTTGCATAAAACAAAGCTAACAAATCAGCTTAGATACTGTTTCAAAATCAGGCTCAAGGACTTTACACGTTTTTTTTCGTTTTGATTAATTTGCACATTAATATATTTTATCAAACTGTTGATTTTCTTTTATGAGTATTTTCACACAGAGCACAAATAATATGCAGTGGAAAAAAGATTTTTTTCTTAGTTTTCACACAACAAATGAAGGCTTCAGTAAATCAGGTTGTGAGGATTATACAACAACAACATGGAGGCTTGATAGTCCAAACGAAGATGGCCGACTTTATAACAACTTTTACCCTTGTTAAAAAAAATGAGGCATACAAGACACACTCCTTCCATTCTTATCTTTCACAATAAAAAGCCCTACACAATATGTAACTGTTTACCAGAAGGAAATTCAATTTACTCAGAGCATTTCACTGCAAGGACACTCAATAATATAGCTTTCAGTAGCTAATGCTATACAACAACTTACCTCAACTGTCAGACACCAAACGAACTGGTGCTAATCTATCCAAACCTTTTACTGAACAAGTGTTGCAACTGTCACAAATCCTTATCTTTGCTGGTATAAACAGTTTTGATTTGAAATTTTTGCAGGCGAGTAATTCGCATTTTGGTGTAGTTTATTCTTCATGCCCTCCCATGTGTTAAGGCCTTTAAGAGGCCGTTTACACGTACACGGTGATTTTGATAAACGGAGACATCTTCCTTCGTTTGTGCCCTTCGTTTACACGCAAACGGAGATTTCTCCTCTGAAAACGAGTCTTTCTAAAAACTCCGGCCAGAGTGGAGATTTTGGAAAACTCCGGTTGCGCGTTTGCATGTAAACTGAGATAAACGGAGATAAACGGAGTTATAGGCAGCTGACGTCACAGTATGTGCTGGAACTTGCGCCTGTGTAAAAAGTGCGACCTATGTTGCTATGGTGACAATGGATACATGGAAGGCTTGAGCTTCTCGTTACACTGCCACCTACAGGTTTGGCATGCTCTTGTGTATATATACACGGGTAAGTGTAAACGAAGATCTTTTTGAAAACGGAGACGGTGAAATGTCCGTTTATGAAAATAGCCGGCAACGTGTAAACGGCCTCTAAGTGTGTTTGAACCATCTTCGCCAGGTGGGCTGAGAAAACCCAGGCAGGAGAGCTCAGGCTTAGGAAGATAGAGTTTACTCTGAGTTATTGGACAGAAAGGAACTGAATAAATATTACATGGATGTAGAGTTTTGAGGGGAGTGCTTGAAAATGGCAAGCAAAGAGTGAGAGCCAGGAGGAGTAAAAATAGATGAGGATGAAGAGAGAGAGACGTTAACACACAGTCATCCATGAAGGATGCGGCCACCTATTGCGTCTGTAACAAAGTGCATCAGTCCTACAAATGAAAACAAAAAGAGACATATTACCACTTCAGTTTTTTCTCAGAATACAACCAGGCTCTCTGACTAGATATCTTTTTGTGTACAGCAGGAAATCACATTACTAAATAAACCATGCTGATCTTTTCACAAGTTAATCTCATTAGTAACAGTAAGATTTGTTGTGTATTGTGCTATGTCCATGAAGACATGCATTCTTAAGCCTGCATGTATGTTTGGGGGGTGCTAGTTTTTGGGTGTGGGCGCATGAAGTGCAGTGGGAGCCCAAAAACTGACATCATAGCTGATGTAATCCGCTGGCTGGAGCATTGACAGTCCCTCCCAGATGGCTCACAGGCTGTAAGAGAGGACAGATGAAGTTTTCTGGAAAGCCTGAGGAGAGGGAGCGAATGCTGACTGTTTGAGTGTGTTTGTGTGTTCACTGCAGTTTGTGTTTATTCATAGGAACGTTGGACATCACTCACAGGTCGAATCCTGCTTGTCTGTTTGTTTCATTGTTACTCGATGGACCAGATGGGTGCAGTTCATCACATTTAATCAATTAATTGAATTCATTTATTGAATTATATGTACAAATTGATGCAGTGTCATAGGTTTCATGTGAACACTGGGGGACACACACATGAAACTAGGTTTGGGGGCCGTCCACCAGAAAAGTTTTCCTGACAGAGAGACAGCTAGCTGTCTCCAGTCTCCATTGGTTAGCTCACATTAGCCCTGGCTCTATTGCACTGCACATCACCCAGGTCAGGTGGGAGCTAGCTAGCGGTGCTGCTCATTTGCGATTACCACTTGATACTGTCTGAGTGGCTTCTTGGTGGCAGGACAGTGCTGCTGCGGAAACATGGTAGCAAACGTCCCCCAGGAAGCCTCGGTGAGTAACTAGCTTCCTTTGAGCCGCAAAATCCCTTTAGCATCGTTAATTATGTTAGCACTAATAGCGGTGTTAAAACTGCTAATGATGCTTATAAAGCTGACAGTGTTAACATAGTTCATGATGCTAAACGGGGTTTGCAGCTCAAAATTAAGCCACTTCCTCCACGAGGTGGCTGGGAGGAGACCAGATCGATGGCACAATGATTCCATGGCAGCTCTGCTGGGTTAGGATGGCGTTATAAGTGGTAATCACCAAATGAGCAGTGCTGCTAGCTAGCTCCCACCAAACCCAGGTGGTTCACAGTGTAGTAAACGACATGCATAACCGGTCAAAAATATTCTTGGCGTTGACA